GACCCTTCCTCAGAACAGTTCTGAGGAAGGGTCACCGGACCCGAAACGTTAACTCAGTTTTCTCCTTCACAGATGCTGTCAGACCTGCTGAGCTTTTCTGGCAACTTTGTTTTTGTTCCTGATTTACAGCATCCGCAGTTCTTTCGGTTTTTACAAAAAAAAAACAGAAGTTGCTGGAAAAGCTCAGCAAGTCTGGCAGCATCTGTGAAGAAAAATCAGAGTTAACATTTTGGGTCCGGTGTCCCTTCCTCAGCCTGCTGAGCTTTTCCAGCGCCTTCTGTTTTTGTTCCAAACTTTGTGAATATCAACACCAGGCACCAGGTTCATAGCTAAAACAAAATAATTAACAATTTATTGTTAAAATGGCAGCTTTAGCTGAGCAAAGTTAAACAACAAGGTAATATAATTAGTGTCCATGATTAAACCCAATCTTCCTTTATACTAGCCCCCACTCATACAAAGACAGACTCACAATAGATTCAGTTTAGGAGTAAATTATAGAAAAATAAAACAGACATAACTGGCCAATTCACTTAAGCTGTTTCCACAATCTGTAAATACCACAAGCACATAAATCTAAAGTAACTCCCTTGGTTTCTGACGACCCTGGTCAATGCAAGTATCTTTGAATAGGCTCTGAGGAATAATCATCTAATTCTTCTAACAAATGTTATATTCTCTGAATTTACAGTAAGCTGACAATGAGAAGATACTCCTGGAGCAAACAAACTTCTGTCCTGTAGCTTTGGTAGCCACAATTCTTCTGACAAAACATACTGTTCAAAAACAGTTCAAAATGTAGCTTCTCTTACTGGTTTTTTTTTGACATTTTCTTTGTTAGATTGAGTGGCACATGTTAACAGGTTTGAGCATAATGTGTGTCCAGAGTCAAAACATTTGCAGAGTACTCTGAACAAGAATCAACCAGTAATCAATCTCCAGGTCTGGCATCATAAAAAAAAAATCAGTTTGTTTGCTCTCTTTTTGAACAATCAAGCTGTTGCTCACAATCCAAAGGTCACCTTCAGTTGCAGCTCATGGTTCACAGCTTCAAACCAAAAAGATAAAAGTAAAGAAAACTCAACGAGGGTTCTAACACACTGGTCTGCCTTTTCCTCAAAGTAGTGTATTTTTTTTCTACAGGTAATTACAGGAGATGGCAGATGAATCATACATGTATTTTGCTTTAGTCTTCACTGTTGAGCATTTGAGTAACATTCCAGAAAAAGCAGTGGATTGGGAACCAAAAGGGAGGAACTCAGGAAAATAACAATTGCCAGAGAAAAGTGGTACTGACAAGCTGTTGGAACTGTGGGCTGACAAGTTAGATTTCACCCTAAGGTCTTAGAAGAAGTGACTAGTGAGATAGTCAATGCATTGCTTCTAATTTTCCAAAATTCCTTACATTTGGGGAAGGATCCTTTAAATTGGACCATGATAAATGTAATCCCTTTTCTTAAAAAGAATGGAAAACAGAACGAAGGAAACTATAGGCTAATTAGCTTCATACTGGTCATAGGGGAGATGTCAGAAGCTTTTTTAAACAACATTATAGCAGAAAATGTACATAAATTCAAGGTTAATAGATATGATCAATATGGTTTTGTGAAAAAGAAATCATGTTTAACCAATTTATTGTATTTGTTTGAGGAAGTATTATGTGGTGTCAATCAAACAGAAATGATGGAATGTACTGTACTTTGATTTGAAGACTTGATAGTGATTTGATAGTGTGCCACATCAAAGGTTATCACAGAAAATAAAAGGTCATAGTTTAAAAGGTTACATATTGGCTATGGATTGAAGATTGGCTTGCTAACAGTAATCAGATGTATGCATGAATAGGCCATTTTCTAGTTGGCAAGATGCACCAAATGGTGTGCTACAGGCAACAAAGCTGAGGCCTTGACCGGGATGAAAGGATCAAAAGTATAGCTGCTAAACTTGCTAAATACACTAGAGGTAGGATACATTGTGAATAGGACACAAAAATGTGACAAAGGGTATAGACATGTTAAGTAAGCAGACAAAAATCTGGCAATGGAGCATAATATGGGAAAATGTAATATTGCCAATTTAGACATGAAGGAAAAAAACAAAGCATATTATCTGAATAGAGAGAGACTGAAGAACTCAGAGATGTAGGCAGAGATCTAAATGTCCTCATGCATGAACTGTAGTAGGTCAGTATGCAAATACAGCAAGCAATCAGCAAAATTAATAGAATGTTATTGTTTATTGCAAGAGGAATTGAATAGAAAGGTAGGGAGGTTATGCTTCAGTAATTCAAGACACTGTTGAGATCACATCTGGAGAACTGAATATTGTTCTCATTTAAGGAAGAACGTAAGTGTATTGAAAGCAATTCAGAGAATATTTAGTGGAAGAACTGGAATGGGTGTGTTGTCTTATGACGGAGGATTAGACAGGTTAGACTTGTATCGATGGGAATTTCAAAGAGTAAGTTGGTAAATTGATTAAAACATATATGATCCTGAGGCATCTGGACAAGGTGGATATGAAAAGGATGTTTTCTCTTGTGGGAGAATGTAGAACTAGGTATCACTGTTTTAAAATAGGGAGATCATCTATATGAGACAGAGAAAAGAACAGAGATATTAAGAACTGCAGATGCTGGAGTCAGAGCCAATACAGTGTGGAGCTGGAGGAACACAGTAGGTCAGGCAGCATCAGAGGAGCAGGAAAGTCAACATTTCGGGTTTATACCCTTATTTTCTCTCAGAGGTTCATGCGTCTTCGGAAATTTCTTCCTCAAAAGGTGTTGGAAGTGGAGCCTTTGAATATTTTAAAGGCAGAAGTCAAAATTTCAAAATAAGCAAGATGGTGAAAGGTTAAGGAGGGTATGCTAGAATATGAAGTCATCAGATAAGCCATGATCTTATTCAATGGTGGATTTGCCATGAGGAACCAAATGCCTTATTCCTGCCTCTAATTCAAGTGTATAGAACAGTACAGCACAGTACAGGCCCTTCGGCCCACAATGTTATGTATGTTTGTGTGATGAAATAGTCACTGGCCAGTCAGCCTGATCTCAGTGATGGATAAATTGTTGGTAAAGCTTTTGAATGACTGTTACAAATTGTCTTTTTGTCAGGCACAAAGGAATCATGGGCAGTCAACATGAATTTGTTATTTGTTATGTTTGCTAATAACGTGAGGATAATAACAAGTCGGCCCAATAAGGGTCATGCATTTGATGTAACCTACACTGTTTCAGCGAGTTTTATTTTACAAGCTATCACATGAAAATCTATTGAAACTGGAACAACACATGGGATGATGTAGGGAATAATTGGCCGGACATAAGAAGTGTAGAGGAACAGTGGGACTTTTGAAAATGCAGGCCTATAAATTCTTAAGGTACCAGGACAAGTCAACGAGAAGATTAATGAAGGAAAAGGGATATGTTCCTTTATTGGCATGGGTACAGAATATATGTGGAAGAATGTTATGCTAGAACTATATAAAGCTTTAGTTAGGTTACCTGACAAACTGTGCATCATTCTATTCATTTTCTTTAGAGGAGGTATCTGATCATATTAAAGTACAGAGGACATTTATGAACATGTTGTTAAGAATGGAGAATTTCAGCTACAATGAAAAGTTAGAAAACCTGCAGTTGAACTAGATGTTGTGTTCAAGTGTCTGATGTGGAATTTGAACATTCAAAGGCACAAGCACTCACAGGAGCCACAACTGAAAATGAAAATAATGTAATATTTTACACAAATGTATCAGGTCCTATAGATGAAGTGGCACTGAATAACAATTACAGGTTATCAGACTGTTACACAGCAACTAAGATTAAAGGTAAAGTCACCGTAATCTTACCAGACGATTGAGCTGCTCCCTCTGGAAGAGAGATGACTTGTGGTGGTTTAACCAGAGGGTCACCACACCTCATGCAAGGGAAAGGTTAAGAAAGAGAGTCCTTCATGATAACCTCAGCTGGTACAGGAATTGAACTCACTATTGGCATCACTCTGCATCACAAACCAGCTGAGCTAACCAACTTCCCAGATATGATGCAATTAAAGCAATTATAACATTACATTGAACTGAAGTTAAAATCACACACACAGGTAAGCTGCTTCAGGCAGGCAGTAAATACACACTTCTCAGCCAGAATAGCAGCTAGCTATAGCTTTCAAGTAGGATGGAAGATTATAAACCTGCATACTCACATCCCAAGATCAGTTCTGCAGATGCAAGAAGTGTTGGATGATTTATCAGACAGGTTACTTTCTTCAAGCTCTTCGTATGCTGTACTGGTTTGTAAATGCTGGTAACTGTTCTGGTTTGATTTTGCTGTTTGGTCCTATTTCTTCCTCTCGTTGAAACCTTTGATGTCACTAATACAATACTGGGTGCTAGGCTACCATTAGCAACTTTGCAAGCCCTTGCAAGTGAACCTTTAAAATCACTTCGGTGCTTTTTTATAAGATCGGAAGGAACTAGAAAGGAAACAAATTAGGATATTATTTGTCATGTCAAACAGTATGACTTCTGTAAAACTATTCAGTGAATAACCATTTTGTTACATCCATAGATTCAGTTTTCTGGCAAAAGTACTTTTTTTATTTTTCAATTAGCAAGTTAAAATCTATTTGAAACCATACTTTTAGTGCTCTGATTCGCAGAAACATTGAAACTATGAGCAGGACTAGGCCATTTGGCCTTTTGAGCCTGGTCCATCATTTAATATGAGCATGGCTGACCCTCTATTTCAATACCATACCCCTGCCTTCTGCCTATACCCTTGATGTCTTTAATACCTAAAAATGTATCTCTCCCTTGAATATATTCAGTGACTTGGTTCCACAACCTTCTGTGGTGAGAACATTGACAGATTCAATACCCTTTGTATAAAGAGGTTTTTCTAACCCTTATCCCAAGACTTTGATCACTGGCTCTAAACTCCCCAACCAGGAGGGGGAGTGGTGAGGGTGGAATCCTCTCTGTATCTTGTTTTTTCAGCCCTGTTAGAATTTTATATGTTTCTGTAGAGATTGGAAGGAGGTCAGCCAGGTAGATCTCATAGAGTATGAGTTCCCTGATTGGGGCTACTATCTTGGCCCAATGAAGGAGCCCTGGCTGACAGATATAAACAGAGTATTAGGGGTTCTGTTCACTGTAGGAACTGGCTCTGAGCCAGCTGAGTCAATGTCATGTACTGTGCACGTATAAATAAAGGGTGACTTGGCGATGAGTTACTGGCCTTTTTGAAGTTATTTCAGTTTTAATCAGATCCCCTCTCATTCTTGTCAACTGTAGTGAGTACAGGCCCAGTCAAACAAATCTCTCCTCATAGGAGAGTCCCATCATTCAAATATCAGCTTAGTGATCCTTTGTTGCATTCCCTCAATGGCAAATATGACTTTTCTTAGGAAGGGAGACCAAATTTCATACAGTACTCCAGGTGTGGTCTCACCATGGCCCTGTATAACTGCAGTAAGACATCCCTACCACTGCATTCAAATTCGCTTGCAATGAAAGCCAATATATGATTTGCTATGCTCATTGTTTGCTGCACTTGCCTGTCTACTTTTATTGACTGGTCTACAAGGACACCTAGATCCTTTTGTACATTCACATTTGCCAATATATCACCATTTAAATAATACTTTTCCTTTCTGTTCTCACATTAATTTCACATTTAGCCATATAGTACTTCATCTGCCATATGTTTGCTCACTCACTCACCTTGTCTAAATCACATTGAAGCCAGCTTGCATTCTCCTTGCAGCATTGCCTAATTATGTGTCATCAGCAAAATTGAAAATGTTGAATTTGGCTCCTTTATCCAGGTCACTTAAAAATAATGTGAATAGCTGGGCCCATAAGCACTGACCCTTATCGTACTAGTCACTAGTCACTGCCAAACATCAAGAAAAAGACCCATGTATTCCCACTCGCTGTTTCTAATCTGTCAACCAGTTCTCAATCCATGTCAATATATTACTCCTAATCCCATATACTTTAACTTTGCCCACCAACCTCTTGTGTGAAATTCTCAAAGCCTTCTGGAAATCCAAATATACCACATCCACTGCTTCTCCTTTATTTTTACATCATCATTACAATTGGGAAATGTCTTTCAGGAATACTGAGTGCTCTATTGTATTATTTAACCTTCAAAATATTTAGTGTTTTTTTTTAAATTATAACAAGCTCTGAATTATGTAGAGAGGAAGATGACCTGTAAATGAATTCTGGCCGTATGGATTATACACAAAATTAAACTACTGAAGCCCAGCATTCTCCAATACTTTGTCCTTTTTCACACCGTTGCTTAATACATGCCATGAATTTGAAAGTAGGCCCAACTTTCTGAAGATATTTTGTGTCTTCAAGAGAGTGAAAATAGCTCAATACAAATCTATTACTCCAAATCTTGCTATTATTGCATTAAAAGAAAGTCAGATTATCACAGCCATGACATGTCGCTTACCTGCTTGGTAGACATGTAGGAATGTGATGTTAGACTCAAGGGGCTAATGCATAGACAAGAAAATGGTCAAAACTCACTTGAAAGACTTATCTTCACACTGTCTGTTATAATATAATGACAAATAGTAATGAAATGTTTTCTTACGATAAACTTACATATAACTGTCAACTTTACTTGATTTTCTATCGCTGCACAGGAATTTGTGAATACACATGTATATGGCATTTTAGCCATATGTTGGATCCTACTAGTCCTGTTGGTTAATAAGACTTTGTTGAGTTTCAAATAGGTGGCATTTTCTACAGAGCTGTTCTTTGAGATTACAACAAGGACATATATTATTTTGTTGTGTTCCAGATCCCATCCAGGTTGTCTGATTACTGTTTCCTTAGTTAAGGTACAACTTGAATCCACGCCACTTCTGTGTTCATATGGAAGCTTGTTATTTATGTGTTTCCCTGCGGAAATAAGTTAATGTTAATACCAAATAACTTAAAGTAATAGTAATGTAATAAATACATATTGTTCATATGAATTGCTTTCCTTTAAGCATTGGGTCTTCAATAATGACTGAAATTCTTCATCAACAGGATCATTCTATTGATTCTAATTCTGTTGTCCAGTCTTATACTAACATTTCCACCTTGCTGACCAATATTGGCTTCCAATTCAAAGTCAATATAGCGTGGACCTGGAGGAACACAGCAGATCAGGCAGCATCAGAGGAGCAGGAAAGTCTACGTTTCGGCCACATCAACTTTCCTGTTCCTCTGATGCTGCCCGATCTGCTGTGTTCCTTCAGCTCCACACTGTATTGACTCTGACTTCCAGCATCTGCAGTTCTTGCTATCTCCTTCCAATTCAAATCCTTGGTCTCAATTTTAAGCTCTTTCTATGGATTCACTCCTAACCTGTGTACAATTTTCTCAGCACTATATCCCCTCTTGAACAATATATTCCTCTGAACTCAGTTCCTTGTGCAGTTCATTTTTTTCTCTCTCTCTCTGCTAGTCGGGGTGTTTAGCTATCTTGATTCTTTTCTTCCCAGTTTTCTATCTACATCTTCAACTTCTATAACTCACTATACATTCTTCAAATGCTTGTTGAATCAATTTCTTCAATTAAACTTAACTTACACATCCTATTCTCTCCTTTTGTGCATGAGTTCCTTATTGCAATCTGTTTTGTGATGTTTCTTTATGTCGAAGACCCTACAGAAATTGTAATACAATATTGGAAAAAGTTATTTTAGACTATCCCTGTACTGTGGTGTAATGAATGGATATGATCCAATTAAACCAGGTGAACTAATCTCTCTGGTCTTTGGCACTTTCCATTTCTGAAAAAGGAAGTTTTGATGAAAAATCATCAAACATAGGCATTACCTTTATTTCTCTCTATGTGAATACCAACGGATCTGTGGAGTATTGCCAATATATTCTGTTTTTATTTGAGATTCCCAGCACTCATGGCATTTTGTTTTCACATTTAAAATAAAACCAGAGATTGGTCAAGAACTAAGGTACAGAATTACCATCGTGCATGTTAAATAAATGGGTCTGGAGGATACTAACAGAAGTACCGCTGATAGTTGGCTGTGTTTTTTCATTTATTCACGGTATGAGGGTGTTGCTGACCAGGCAGCATTTATTGCCCATCCCTAACTTCCCAGAGGGCAGTTGAGAGTCAACCACATTGCTGTGGGTCTGGAGTCACATGTAGGCTAGAGCAGGTGAGGATGAAAGATTTCCTTCCCTAAAGGGAATTAGTGAACCAGATTGGTTTTTCCAATAATCGACAATGCTTTCATGGCCATCATTAGATTTTTAATTCCAGATATTGTCTATTGAATTCAAATATCACCATCTCCTGTGGCGGGATTTAAACTTGGGTCCCTACAATGTTATCTTGATCTCCAGATTAACAGTCCAGCAATAATGCCACTAGACTATTGCTTCCTTGGAGATTAATATAGTTGATCTCAGCAAGGCTGATGGTTAAGAGTGTTACAGTTGAGATTAGCCCCTTTTGAAAGGAATAATATTGTCTATTGTTTATTCCTAAAAAGAGACAAGAAGTTGAAACTTTCCATCGTGCACGCATCAGAACTAGAACACACAAAAGTGATCTGAATAAAAAAGTCACACCATTATATAAAGGAAGAGAAGAGAGTGCTGATTGGGTGGAGCATATTGTTAAGGGGAATGCAGAAAGAACAGTTAACTGTCAGTCTTAATTCTCAGACCAGGCAATGGATTCTGATTGGTTGGTTTGTTGCCATTGGGATGCAGCAGAGTTTGGCTGTCTCCATGACAACCTTTTTTTTCATGAAAAAGGTGAAACGTATGTAAAAGTTCATTTTGTGTATATAAAACAGGATCCGGTGTTAATTATATATGTAGCTTCTTGCACATACAAACATGTCACTCCAAGAGCCCAGCTGATGATCTTTAATTGGTTTCTGGTGTAACTCTTAGTGGAGTCTGGGTTCTTAATGAATTGATTATCGAATGTTAGTCTTCATAAGCACTGTCATTTGATTCCGTACCTAAAGGTAACTCTTTGGTGGGAATTTCTGTACTTAATTATCAGTTGATTTTTCTTCCTTATTTTAAGTGAAATATGACTGACATATGAAGAAAGAAAGACTGAATCGATGAGGCTTGTACGCACTGGAATTTAGAAGAATCAGGGGAGATCTTATAGAAACATATAAAATCCTGATGGGACTGGACAGGCTAGATGGAGGACAAATGTTCCTGATGTTGGCAAACGACAGAGCTAGGGATCAGTCTAAGAATAAGGGGTAAGCCATTTAGCACTGAGATGAGGCAGAATTTCTTCACTCAGAGAGTTGTGAACCTGTGGAATTCTCTCGCACAGAAAGCTGTTGGGGCCAGTTGGTTAGATATATTCAAGGGGGAGCTGGACGTAGCCCTTACGGCTAAAAGGATCAGGGGGTATGGAGAGAAAGTGGTGGTGGGATACAGAAATTGCACAATCAGCCATGACCATATTGAATTTGGTGCCGGCTTGAAGGGCCGAATGGTCCTGCACGTATTTTCCATGTTTCTATAAAAATATAAACAGAAATAGGATCAGTTGTTGTTGATAAGTTTATCCCTTTCCACTTTTATAATTGGGGTATAATATTTTCATGCTTCCAGACCTCAGCCACAATTCCAAAATCCAGGGAGGATTGGCTTCTGCTTTAGTTGTGTCAATATCACAGACTAACATCAGCATTCCACCAACATTTATATGGTTAATGCTTGCAGATAAAAGCATGACCTGTTGAAATGGTAATGCCCTTGAAAACATTTGAATGGAGGTAATCTGAAGATGGACCTTGAAAATTTTGAGTGATGGGACTACAACCATTTCCTTTGGAATCTTGTTCCATTGTGGGAATATCCATAGGAAGAATGATACACTGTCTTGCAGACAAATTACTTCACCAATCTGTGGATGGCTACCTTATACTTTAGCATTGCCAGAGGGCACCACTATTTGTTTCTGCCAGTTTCCATCAGTCCATTCCATATTTTATTGGAAATGTTCAATCTAGCTTTCCCCCTCTTTTGCTGTAAAGATTCTCATTCCAAATCTTTGATCAAGAGGTGACGCTGATGTATTTGCCAGACTGACACAATATTGTGCAGTCTTACTTCGGATTGTTTCAATCTTATTGCTATCTCTCGCCATACTTGGAAAACATGCACGACTTGCACACTCCAGCAATGGATGAACAAACATTTGGAAATATATATTTTGACACTGCAATATTTTTTGCTGCAATATCAAAACTTCCTCCTCAGAAATCCAAAATCGCATTTGCTATCTGCTGAATGTGGAAACCTTACTGAAGATTGTTTTGAAGATGAGGCCCAACTATAAGTTCTGTTTTAACCTCTTGGAGAATTTAGTTAGAGAACTTTAAACTATTTGAATGTAAAACTGTGACCAGAGCCTCCACAATTTCAAATTTTATTTCCTTCTGAAGATAGGGTGCTTCCTATCCAGAAGAAGGGACCTTCCTACTTAGGGACTCCCAAATATTTTAACTACCTCCTTTATTTTCATAGCTCCAACATCTCTACTGTCTAACATTTTACTATTAAAATAGCTGCACCCTTTTTACAGAAACAACTCATTTAGTATATCAGCCATGTACTTTGCTGTTATAAGAGGATTTCATTTTTGATTCCAAAGCAGCTCCACTCTTCTGTTGATTACCCTTTTACTATATCAAAGACATTGATAATAAAATTGCACACACATTAATCACGTACGAATTACATCAAATAGCACAGTCTTTGCAGCTCGATTTATTCTGTGACTCTTTCCAATTCAATGTGCATCCCTTGAAGTTTTCACAAATAGACAAATATTACACAACTGCAGCACAATTAAATAACTGAAGTAGGATCTGACTCACATTTCTCATTCATTTCATGACATGTTAGGATGGTTGCAAATGCATTATCAAGAAATCAAGCTTCAAATCTAATTAACTGGGCAATTGTCATTTAACTGTTGGTTGAGCATTCCTAAGCAATATTTATACTAATGCATTGCTGAGCAAATGTTGTAAAGTGGATGCAATTTATTTGATGTGTCAGAAACTTGGCATGACATTAAATGCCACAGCATGGCATGCTGCACCCCATCTGTTTCTTTGCCCCCCTTCCTTAGCACCTTGTTACACCAGATGGGCATCATTGATAAAATCCGAATGCACCTTAGGTTGGGGTTGGTTGACCTATCATGCCAAAGAAAAATTGGTATTGTGGTCGGGTCCACTGTTCTCAGCATTACTCTCAGGAGACATTAAGTGAAACAATCATCCACACTGTCCACCATGTCCCTGAAGGTAAAAAAAGATAATTGGAAGTACAATGACCCTATTTAACTTTCACACTGTAGGCAAATGTAAATTTTAGTAATAACATAAAACATGGAAATAAGCATTGAATGTGATATGGAACAGTAGACCATTACAAGAACAACAAATTCATCTTTCATTCCTATAGTGCATTTCATAGAGTGGAAGTACCAGAGAACATCAGAGAAGTTGAACAAATGTTGAATAATTGTAGAATAAGAGTTATGGGGGTGAAGACATCATGGAATACCTAGGAACTGCAGATACCTTTGGAAATGAGGAAGGAGGTAGCAAGTCAGATAGATATAGAGTTTTCCAGGATGAAACGTTCAGACAATGGAGATAGTTTTTTTTAAATTATTTACAGGTGGAGGGCATATAGGTGGTGGCTAGGCCAACAATTATTGCCCAGAGGGCAGTTTAAGGGTCAACACATTGCTATGGGTCTGGAGTCATATGTAGGCCAGACCAGAGAAGGATGGTCATTCGCTTCCCTAAAGGGCATTCGTGAACCAGATCGGTTTATCCAAAAATCAACAATGGATTCGTGGTCATCATTGGACTCTTAATTCCAGATGTTTGAGAATAAAAAGACTCCACCATTTGCCATGTCAGGTTTGAAACCCGGGTACTCGGGACACTACCTGGGTCTCTGACTTAATGGTCTAGTCATAATACCACTAGGCCATTGCCTGCCCTGAGTACTAGCCTTGTTAGTTAATTGATCATTAAAATGGTTGCAAAGAAAGGCCAATTCGGAAGGGGATATATTCCACCCCACTAACTGACTGAGAGAAGTTACAAAGTTTGCATGTGTTGAGCTCTATAATCTTGTAATCCGAGACAAACATTTTAAATTTAATGCATCAGGGAGGGGAATAACAATGATGTTTGGGAAGAACTAGACTAATAGAAAAAACCATGATGTGAAAAGTGGGAGTTTGGACAATTCTTCCTTCTCCTCTAATTATTTTAAAATGTTAGACCTAAAAGTATTTTTGGAAAACTACTGTTTATGCTGGCGAATTGACACACAAGACATAATGCAACCTCAATTTTCAGAAGAGGCGGAGAAAAGAGAAGTTGAGGTCAGGAAAGCATCAGCGAGGATTTCAGCGAGAATGAATCAAAGCAATAGCAGGAAATGTTACCAGGACAGAAATACACAAAGGAAAGGACATCAACTCCAGGTCAAACAGAACACCATGGATACACAATCACCGAGATTAATTAATTCTCAATATAAATGGCACAATGAAGGAAACCTAAGAGGAAGTCAAAATCCTACAAAAGATTTATAATTTTTAACAAAATAAATCATAATGCTTTTGAATTTCTTCCTGATAAAAATTAGTTAAGAAACAAAACAAGAATGAAATTCATCGATCAGAATTTTATCAAACTATTTTGAGCAAGTTTCAAGTGGTTGTGGGAACCGTTACGAGGAAGCAGATGGTGTTTGATCAGATATCAGATGATTTTACCAGCATTAATAAACTTGGAGGGCATTCTTTAGACATCAACTGAGATACTTAATGGGTCAATAAACCCCAACATAAGGTGCATTCAGATTTTATTGATGATGCCCACCTGGTGTAACAAGGTGCTCAGGAAAGCAGGGACATGGAAACAGGAGCTATGTGGCAGTGCTCTCACAAGTCATCAGGCAAGTCACTGTGTTGGGGCAGGATGAAAGGTGCACAGAGGCCACGGCCAAATGTCGAGTAAAAGGTGGGCAAAAGTTATGGGGGGGGCACATGGCCGGGTTGAAGGGGGCAGTGGCACTTTCACTGAGGAGAGCACTTTGGAGACAGGTTTTGAGGAAACAAGGGGCACCATTCCAGAAAGAAGGCCTAGGAATCAGAGAAAGGGGATATCTGCCGTGAGCCTTGCCCACCCAGGTGTCATGGCCTCTGCACTCTGAGGGAGGGAGATCCAGGCACTGGCAGGGGCCTATCATTATATTCATGACCAGGAAGAAGGCCTGGGTTTGTGCACATGAGAGAAAAGGAGAGAGGGGCACACCGATTGGTTATTTCCAGGGCAGAATGTAGTGCCTGAGGCTGAAATTTCTCCAAGTGACCAAATTGCAGTTTCAGCAAACAGTGCATTTCTCCATCAAACAGTGCATCTCTCCATCAAAGGGTGCATCTTTCCAACAAACAGTGTCTCTACATCAAACAATTTCACTCTCTATCGAACAGTGTCACTCTCCATCCGACAATGTGACTCTTTATCGAAGCCATCACTGATCTCTGCACCATGCTGCATGATGGGCTGAGATCTTCGGGACTAGTGGGTAGCCAAAGAAAATAACCCCAGCCCTCAATTTCAATATCGCAAGTTCTATCCTGGGATCCATTGGATATTTGTGTGGAATCAAGGTCAAGGACCTATTGAAGATGGATGTATGCACAACTGCATGTGTCTGAAAAGTCAGGTGGAGAGCAGTAGCAGCAGAATGTTGCAAGGTAGCAGTATCCAGAAGAAATAATAATAGAAAGAGCTGGAGAAAATCAGCAGGTCTGCATTATTTATGGAGAAAGAGAGAGAGAAACGTCTTGAGTCCAATGACTCTTCAGTTCTGAAGAAGTGTCATGATTTGACATGTTAACTCTGTTTCTCTCCACAGATGCTGCCAGACCTGCTGAGTTTCCCCTACACTTTCTGTTTATAGTTTAGAACTCCATTACTTGCAGTATTTGTTTTTTATCGTAGCCAAAACCAATTTCCTTGGGCAGTTGAAATGTTAAAGGGTTAATATCTGTTCTGCTGACATATAAGAAATTAGGTGCTTCATGGGTGCCCCTGTCTCGCAGACAAAATGGGGTAATCTAATTATACTCTGCTCTCTGTAAATGTTGAACTAAGGCTA